AGCTGCTTCAGCTGGTCTGTACCACTGGTCCCAAGAAACCGGACATTAGTGGGACAATCAGAGACAGCGCTGGTGTCCTGCTTCACGATACGGAGCGCCGTATGACTCGTTGGACGAAGCATTTTCGAGATCGGTTCAGTTGGTTCCCTACTCCCGGACTTTCTTCTACTCAGATGGCGCAGGCTGAGCAATGACTGATTTGTTTAGAGGCTCCATCGGCTATCACAACCCTTAATTGTTTTCGTGCTGGTGGCCCGGATTCTCTTTCACCCGCACTATACAAGTTATGGCACATCCAATTATATTGTAATTAGTATAGTGTATATATATATATATATATATATATATATATATATATATATATATATATATATATATATGGTTGGCGGCATCCGGTTTCGGATTTGCCTGTCACTGTGGCCAGCCACAAGACGCCTGCGCCTACAGAGGGACTATGGATGGCTTGCGCTGCACCACCCACAGCTCCAACCACACACCCCATATCCAGTGCAAACCCGAAGGAATGAGACCGGGAGGCATGTGGATGGGAGCCACGTTTCATCAACGGAGCCGGCCCACACTCCTTCACACGCAAACACAAGCACGCTGTATTTGGGGAATCAAGCGCACACAAGGCGGTGGCTGGACCGTAGTCCGCTCCACACTGAGTGCATGGAACCGCTCTTCGAGCCTAGCACGACCACACGGTCCGTGCACCCCGTCCCCTCCAGCAACGATGAACTGTCTGCTGGAGCCAGTATGGCCGAGGCAGTGGGTAATAGACAGGTAGGCACCTTGTCAACATGCACATCAAGCGCAGCCACACCGTGGATATCAAGCAACAGCCATTCACTTGAAATGACAAGATGAAATAAAATAAATCCAATAATGCATACAGATACGGTGGCATAACTCTTCGCTAAATTGCCATTTGAAGTATGTTGGTTAGCAACGAATCCGCGATAGGTACAACTTGTTCGAAAGTTATTTAAAAATTACTACGTGATAAAGTTACGCAAGGTAACCACAATTTGCAAGAGTGACGTGTGCAAGTTAGAAGAAGATTATCAACTACCCAGAACAAAGCAAATAAAGTGGAATGAGTTTTATCCACATTAAAAAACCTAGTTTAGCTGTAAGCTGGTTTAGCCTAACTGTGGTGAAGAAGCATCATGAATGCAACATCAGCCTCAGCATAGGGCACTACATATATATAAAATATGATGGTGAGGTGCACTGCTATTCACGGACTTTCCGGTTCGGACAGGTCTGGAAGGAGTAAGCCATCCTAGCTAACTGGAGTGAATCGATTATGGCGGCAGTATACGGAAAGGGCATTCGTACTGACTGGGTTAATCACATAGCTATTAGCCTAACGCCATTGGTGACTAATCTACTAACTTCAGCTCTTGTTCTTCACTTCACTTCGGAACTGGAATCCCGGATTGGGGATGTGTAAGCAGGTTTCTGCCCATGACGGGTCTGTATAGACCATATATGCACTCTTTGACACTCGCTGGAGCAGTGCGACACATACCGCAAACCGACAATAACTGTGCTCCTTGACTTCAAGAGTGCATTCGACTCAGTTGGTTGATGCACTCTGTTTGAAGTACTTACGCGAACAATTGTTCCTATAAAATGTGTGAAAATTTACGTGCCCTGTACACGAACACGATAGGCCGCGTCATGTTCTACGGGGACTTGTCAGATATCTTTCAGACGACAAGTGAAGTTCGCAATGCTTGCCCGATTTCCCCATTGTTGTTCAATTTTTTCGTGGTTTCTATCATGGAGTACACCGTTGTGGAGCCTCACGATGCAGTCGTTGAGGTGCTGCCTGGCGAAAAGCTGGTTGATCTTGATTATGCGGACGATATTCTCTTGTTGTTTACTGATGTTTGGCTCGACGCAGTCAACCTTGAATAGCCTCCCTATAGTAGGCCCATTATTTGAAATACGCTTCGCACCTTCAACATGAAGTGTTATAACAGGACCACCAGCCACTTAATGATCGCTTGACCATTGATAGCGAGGAACTCGAGGTAGTCGTTATTCTTTTACCTTGGCGGCTGCACCACCCTCGATGATCGCATAACAGCTGAAGCCAGTTCACTTATTTCAGAAGTTAGAACTGTCTTCTTGAGTCTGCAACATCTGTGGCGACAGAAAATCGTTTCCCTCTATCTGATAGGTCGTGTTTTCAATGGCAACATTTAGGGCCGCTCTACGCTATGCTTATGAAACATGGTCCCTTCCATCTGAGGATCTGGGTTGCCTCCAAGTCTGCGGAGCATCTTTTGGTGTCGCATGGTGCTAGCGTGTGCGGAACAATCATGTACGTAGGAAAGTGCTGGACAGTGATAAGTTACGTTGGTGTGACATGTATTACGCATGCCCAGTCATCGCTTACCAAGGAGGGTATTGTTTTTGTGTAGATTCGTCGCAGTTAGACACAGACAGACAGCCACCACCCATCCAGGAAAGCGCTAGACGGCCGTTTCGTCCTATTGGGACTCGTCAGTAGCGCGCACCCGCCGAATCCTACCGGATTCGAACCCACGACCTTACTCTTGCGAGTCAGCGACTTATGTCACTGAGCCATGGGCGACGGCAGCGGACCGCCATGACTGATATCTAACTGCGATATAGCGCGGCTCATCCTCCACTGTCTTGCATGTGATGAATGTGCAGAGGACAGGGCTGGCCCCCAGAGCAACGACTTCCTTTGCAAGCCGCCACCAATCGAGGTGGCAAGTATGCTGCTAAGGCGACTACTGATTATTTGTAAGTAGTAGGGGATTTATTAGGTTTTTGTGTAGATTCGTCGCAGTTAGACACAGACAGACAGCCACCACCCATCCAGGAAAGCGCTAGACGGCCGTGTCTGTGTCTAACTGCGACGAATCTACACAAAAAGCCTAATAAATCCTCCTACTACTTACAAATAAGGGTATTGTTTGCCGGATGCAGGGTGGCGCGAAGTTCGACTGGACGAAACATGACTTGATAGAGTGAAATGAAGCCACTGACGACGAAACTGGGTGCCGTTGGTCCGTCTCGCCTTCCATGTTGGAGTCCACGCAACTTGGCTGGAAACTTTACAGTCGGCACTGGTGGGGCGTCTGCTGCCGTCTCCTAGTCGGACTGCCTGTTTAAAGTGTGTTTGGTGCTGGGTTATCTAAGGGGTAATGACTGATTATAGCGCGGGACAGTGAAAGTCGAAAGGAAGCTGTCTCGTCGACGCCGCCTTATCTTTGCGCGATAGCCATCTGTTTGTGACGGCAGTTTGTTGGCTACTTGTAGACTCCTTGGCCATGACTGTTTGCTTACAGCATTTAGGTTTAGCAGTAGACCCCCATCTTTTTACTGATATTATTAATCGTTCCTTAGTTCACTGTGGCTGTACGGCAGCGTAGCATCTGTCTAAATGGTTGACGATGGTTTGTTGCAAGTTATTAACATATTGGCTACGCAACTGTAAGAGGCTAATTTGTCTGGTCTCCGGCAATGGATTGTTGGACTGTGCCTTTCTTCGTCGAAGAATAAACCTTTTTTTATTACTTAACTGCACCGAATCTCTCGTCTAGTCCATGATTCATGCCTGTGTGCATATTGGGGACCTTGTGCTTGGTGGGATCATTGCCAAGCCAGATATGCTTACCGAACAACCTCGTGGTGTCCGCAACTGGGTGGTCTGGCTTTTTCCCGTTCCAGCAAAAATTCGGCAGCAGTGTTCCAGAAAGTGGTGTGGTTTTGCCTGGCAAGCGTTCTCCCCATAAAACGCCACATATGACTGTTTAACAAAACTGCGACGTGGCGGATGCGACGCCACTGAATAACACCACTGCTCCTTGTATTACTCCGGTGGCACATTGTATCCAGCGGCGCAAAGCTGAAATTATGGGGAGGATTGGGCTCCTGTTTGTCATCTGCCCAACTGAAAGGCGTATAAATTGAGCATTCCGTCACCGACTCCCAATAGGTGCGATACCCTGAATTCGTCTCGCTGCCTTTTGGGTGGGCTATTCGGCCAAAGGCTCAGGGTGGTGTCCCCTAAGTAAACAGCCTACTTTGGCTTGGGAAATCGAGTAATATCTTGCTCCATGACAAAACCGTGGATTTCTCTGTGTTGTGTTCTGTCTTCTTTTTCGACAACTTTCCTTTGATTTCCATGGTTATTGATGGCTCTTTGTCTATTCATAGACTGATGCAAATATACTTGCTCTGTGTTATTTACCGGTATTGTTGGGTGAACGTCAAAGTTGTGCAGACGATGGCATTGTGGAAAAGTTTCGAGATACCCATTGTCATCATCAATCGCGTAAGCATTTTTGCCTATGGGCCACGGAATAGTCCACGTTAGTCATCGAATTCCGAATTTAAATTGTGTCTTTGGTCAGGCAACTGAGCTATTAAAACCTTTCGTCGGTCCACTATTCGTAAGTCAAGGCAAGCGGATGCCCTGGTGAACCGAATAGTCTTCAGAGATCACTGAATTTATAAAATTCATCGCTTCGAGCAAGGTATTGGAGACTTTCGCCACACATGTACGAGCCATTCACATGAGCCAGAATACTACGAGTCGTTCAGGTCACGGCTAGTATCGTACTCGAATGATCATCAGGAATCAGTCACGGGTTGCTGGGAGTGCTCGTTTACTGACTACTGCGATTTTGTATCACTACAGTATGGTGCAGTATGTCCGAGGCGGTTCGAAATGTACGTTACCAATTCATTGCTGAGGTAAAACAGTGGACCAGTAAACCTACACAGTCCCGAAACTCGACAATGTGAACCCTACATCTTTATTTTGGTGATGGGCTAGAATTATTTTGCGCAGATTGTGAGCTATCGAACACTACTTTTGGCCAGATATTATGGCCTTTCGAACATTCACTTCCTTTTCAATTCATTGTATGGTCCAATCGGACTTTTATTTGACAGCCAAGTTTCAGTTATTTTTACCGGGTTTTACCGTTTCCATGTTCTCACCTCAGGAGCATATCAAATCCCCATACCAGCGCCGGAGACACCCAAGGTGCGGATGTTGAAGCCCACGTAACTTCCAAAGATTTCGAGTCCGTGAATAAGGTGGCCACATTAGCGGGCGACATTCTGTTGGCTTCTGTGTCCACGGCACTGGCTGGCCTACACAACTCGCAGGTGAGTTTTTATCAATTCAACGGAACTATATTTTACTCTTGCGTCAATCATTTCCATTACACTTATGCATTTTTCTCACATTTTACTTTGTGCTGTCAGTGTGGATTTGAAATGCACAGTATAAAACTCCACCACTTTCGTCTCCATCTCACTATTCAACATGGAAATTTGTTTTATTGACCTCCATTTTATTCGGCATCGGGAACTCTTTAACCATTTGCTGTACTTACTGTGCATGTATGCAAACCAACTTCCTCGGTACGTGTTGCCCTTCAGTATTATGCATAGTTGAGCAGACCCCCGAAGTGACCAGTCAATGAGATGGTAAAAACTGCTGGAAAAATCTCGCCGAAAGTCTAGACTGGGTTCAAAATTGTCCTCAGTGTCTGGATGTCCCGTCGGACGTGGCGTAGTCATCAATCATGTGGTGCTTATGCATTCTTTACCTTATTTTTGACTCAGCTACTATCATTACTATTGGCAATAGTAATAATAATAGTGGTATTGTTTCAGCAAAATAACCAAGAATAATTGGCAATACCGTATCTCGGTAGACTTATTGTAGTTCACAAACTGAACTGATGAATCAATGAAACCCTGTTCTCTTGGTCATGTTTCATTGCGTTCCCTGGATTGATCCCCACCGAACATGTCTCACCTTTTCCATGTATTTTTATCCATCAGCTTAAAGTATTCAGGCGTCCTTTGAGCCGTTTTCCACTCGAGCTTCGTTTGCTAATCTTACTATCGCAATATGCATCAAAACCACCTCGTCTCTGGAATCTTGTTTTTCCGCCACAGCACACCTTTTGTAACTGCTTCTCAAGATGAAGTTTCCCCACTCCTATGCCATTGTTCATTACTCGAGCTCAACATGTTTCGCGTCATCCGTTTCCGGTTTTGACGTTGTTGCATGCGGTCACTTGTCATTCGCGCCCATCCACACACCACATATCCCGTGTGATCCACATGGAATATGACTGGTGGGATCACGAGCGAGGACCAGGATGGCTCCACTCCCGACCCACAGCATCCGTTTGTGCCTATATATATTTATATTTATATTGAACACAGCCAACAGTACAATCGTCAGTGTGCCACAACGTATGTACAAACATAATAATACAACAATAATAAGGAGATGGTAAGAAAGTGTAAAACCAGAGTCATGGGGGCAGTCTTACAACATATTCGGCACTGCTCACGGTTTATTGACATGTCCGATAGCGTTTCCATCCAGGTGTGTTCGTTGTCCAGGGAGTCGAGAGCGCCCTACCACGGCCAGATGTGAACTCAACGCTTTCGTACTTTTGGCCCAAGTCATTCGCTGATCACCTTGTCTTCGCTTCCAGCCGACTTCTTTGCACGCAGAGTGCATGGTGAGGCAAACGCTCAGTGGGCATACGACGCACCTGCCCAAGCCACCGAGGCCTATGCAGTGGAATTATACGGCTCAGCGGCCGGAAGTCTGTCCGATTTAAAAATCCTTCGGCGCTTTACTCACTGAACAACATCACGAAATCATGACACAATAAAGATTATAGTTCATTTTACTACCGTTAGACAGGGGGAAATCTGTCCCCGCCCTCTATTTATTCCGACTGGGCTACACGTTCTACTTTTGGTTAGGTTGGCACTTATAGTTCCTTTTATTGCGGAATGATTCCTTACCCTCTTCACCAGCACGGATGTTGTGTGCCTGTTTCACTCAGCCGCGTCAACAGAAAGAGCTCGCACCGGCTCTGCACACAAACGCTGTATTCCAAAGTCTGAGGTAAAGTACAACTAGCTGGGTGTTTAAAAACTCACTCGTCCGCTCGATCGATCGCCTGCTGGACCGCACTGAGACAAGCGATTCCTTTCGTCCAAGCTTTCAGTCACCATCACATCCATTCCTTTCTCTGTTTTAATATGTTGTTGCAATAAGTTCCGTACGGTTTTCCGCTGCGCGTACGCTTGCTGTCTCGGGCTGAGGTTTCAGGTACCTCTTGTTGCTGCTGCCGATCCTCGCTTTGCGGAGTCCGTCCATTACGTGCTCTCCTAATTTGCACCCGATTCCGTCTAATGATATTGCTCCCTATCCTGACTTCGTAGCTCCTTTCACCCCTGCGACCCTCAATCACTCCCCTCCGCCAACGTTCTCCCGAATCTGGTATTGGTTGCACCCATACTTCTTCTCCTACAGCTAAGGGTGGGAGGCATCTCGATCCACGATCATAGTACTTCTTTTGTTTTAGCATTCTCTTCCGTAGTCGGTTGTGCACAGAAGCGTCCGGTGCTATCTCGGGCTGTAGCAGCATTGTAGCGGCCGGTAGCAGCGTTCTAGTTCTGCGACTGAATAGTCGCTGCACCGGACTTACTCCGATCTCGGTAGACGGCGTGTTTCTTCGCTCCAACAGCATTATGTAGGGATCCTCGTGGGTCTCCTTGGCTTTGGTAAGTACTTTCTTCGCCTCCTTCACCGCTGACTCAGCCTTCCCATTTGATTGGCTGTGGTACGGGCTGATGAGCCGATGCCGAAAATCCCACTTCTTGCTAAAAGCGCGGAATTCTGCACTACTGAATTGCGGCCCGTTGTCGGAAATCACCACCTCGGGGATTCCATGTCGAGCGAATTGACACCGTAACTTGTTCACTACGGCTTGCGCGCAGGTTGACGTAAGGGCATCAATCTCGAAGTAGTCACTGAAATAGTCGACCACAATCAAATAGCTCTTCCCGTCGTGAACAAAAATGTCCAATGCGACCATCTGCCAGGGCCTATCCGGAACGTCATGAAGCATCATTGGCTCCTTCGGCTGGCGCACATCGTGTGTCCTGCATGTTAAACAGTTTGATACGTAATCACATATTTGGCTAGTCATTCCTGGCCAGAACATCAGCTCACGTGCTCTTGCCACGCAATTGTTGATTCCCAAATGTGCATAGTGTACCATCTGCAGCATTGAATGTTGCAATGCCTTCGGAACCACTATCCTGTTGCCCTTGAATATTAATCCGTCTTGGGTGATGAGTTCGTCGCGAAAATGAAAGAACGGAGTTAACACTTTGGGCAATTTTTCTTGTCTTCGGGCCATCCGTCTATTATCGTCTGCCTCAGTAGCCTGCACTGTTCGTCCTCTTCCGTGCACCGTTGGAGCTGCTGCAAACGTTCCTTAGTGACCGCGATTAGCTGTGTTGCGTGGACAAAATCCGGGTCTTCTTCCAGTTGCGGTGTGTCTGACAGGTGCGCCCTTGACAACGTGTCCGCAGTGTACATCTGGGATCCTGGTCGGTAGACTATATCCAAGTCATACTTCTGCAGACGAATGAGCATCCTTTGCAGGCGGCGTGGAGCGACATTGAGTGGCTTACTAGCGATGGATACAAGTGGCTTGTGGTCAGTGAAGACAGTTGTTTTGCGGCCGAACGTATAATCGTTGAAGCGTTCTACGGCGTAAACCAGCGCCAACATTTCCTTTTCAATTTGTGCGTAACGACGCTCGGCCTCTGTGAGCTTGCGACTGCGAAAATCGACCGGCTTACCGCTTTGCATAAGCACAGCTCCGATGCCGTATTGGCTACTGTCACACTGAATCTCGAGTGGAAGCGACGGATCAAAGTAGGCAAGGACAGGCGCTTTTGTAATTAATTCCTTGATCTTCCTAAAGGCATTTTCTTGTTCAGATCCCCAGTGCCAAGCTTCACCCTTATGGGTCAACTTTCGAATCGGTATCATCACATCAGCCAGTCGTGGAAGGAAACGGCTCAAGTAGTTGACCATTCCGTTTTGCCTGCTAACCGCCTTTGCATCTGTGGGGGGACACATCTCGTTTATGACCCTGATTTTTTCTGGATCCGGTTTCAACCCTGTTGAACTCAGCACGTGCCCATGAAATGCCACTTCCGTTTTGCGTAGCTCGACTCTCACGCTTTAGTTCGATGTTTCTTTCACTACAGCGTTGTAGAAACTGGTGAAGGTGACGATCATGTTCCTCTCTAGTAGCACCAAAAGCTAACACGTCATCTGATACACGAAAAACTCCGGGCAGATTGTCCAATGCTTGCAGCAGCCGCTTCTGAAATATCTCACTGTATACCTTCAAACCGAATGGCAAAGGAAGCCACCTAAAACGTCCAAAAGGCGTTCCAAATGTATTCAAATAGCTAGACTCTTCGTCAAGTGCTACGTGCCAGAAGGCTGAAGCGAGGTCGACTTTCGTGAACATTTTTACCTTTGATAACGGGGATTTGGCACTTTGTTACTATATGCAACCTTTCCAGTCTCCTAGTGTCGTTTTGTTACATTGTGTTCGGAGCCAGATGGGAGTTTTCTTCTGGATTTCAACGGATTCATCAAGCTCTCGTATATTCGGTTCGAGGACGATAACCAGTTACGCAAACAGCGGTTCTCGCATCGTGCATATCGGCCGAGATCTTATTCCACGGCAGCTCAGTGTCACTGGAGCCGAAGAAGGAAATTGTTGTACGCAAAGCATCTTGGTAACCTTGTCTGATCGAGGGCTGGGATAAATCCTCGGTTGCCAATCGAAGGAAGCGCTTGATATGCCTATCAGTAAAGTTCATGGAAAGAACGACACCGCATCAAGGCATGAGCAGACTTGACGCAGGTATTCCAGAACGAACAGCAATCTAGGATGGAACCACGCCTTTTGTAACTTATGGCAACGTGGTCTGCTTGGTTACATTGCTAACCAGCTATAGGCGGACGCCAAGTGGCACTTCGGCGCCCAGTGTGTGCGATTGTCTGCGCACACTTGGCACGGACGCTCGCAATTGTCCATCCAGTCGGAGCTAAGCCCATAGTAATCACCTAACTCAGATTCTGAAGAATCCAGACGGCCTACTTGCGCATCCATGTCTCGTGGTAGAGGGCGTCCTTGGCAGAACCAAAGCTGAAGTCAGTGGGGACACTAGCGGAAACCACAGACAAGCTGTGTCTGTTACTAGTTGGTGAATCAACCCTAGTTGATGTCCTCAAATGGACATCCACGGGAATC